AAGACGAGACGTCTCCCTTAATCCAAGAATTCCTAGAAGCCCGGAACACCTACTTTAAGGCAATTAAAATAGCTAAACGGACGCATTAGGAATCCTTCCTTTCTAAGGAATCCCCTCCTAATATCTATAAGGTAATGTCCTATACGAAACCCCGGAAAATTACTTAGATTCCGTAAATACGGAACCTATAGGGGAATCTACAAGATACTTTTAAAGATAAATGCTCCGCACTAAGAGAGGGACTATTTCCAAATCCCCCTTAGACTACCCCCTATAACTAGGATAACTATTCCCCTAGTCCTACTAGCTAGGAATAGCCAGAACTTAATAGGGAAGAGCTAGTATAAGCCTACTCAACGTAAATAAAAGGCAAAACTCCGGGACCCGATGCTATCTCCCAGGACTTAATTATCTAGGCGTATAAAGAATACCCGGAAGCCTTTTATAAGGTATTTAGCACGCTATTTAAATATAGGTACCACCCTATCTGCTAGCGGCAAGCTACGGGAGCAATTTTAAGTAAAGGAAGACTAGACAAAGCAGCCCCTAAATCATACAGGGTTATCTCCTTACTTAATTGCCTAGGAAAAATCCTAGAACGCATTATTACTAAAAGACTAGGCTTCTTAGCGGAAAAGACAACTAAACTCTTAGACCCCTCCCAAATAGGAGGGCGTTTAAAGAAATCCGCAATAGACGCAGCGCTCCTTCTCACCAATCTCGTTGAAGAAAATAAAGCACAGAAATTAAAAACTTCTACTCTTTTCCTAGACGTTAAAGGAGCATTCGACCACGTTGCCTAAGAACAACTACTAGTAATAATGGTAAGATTAGACCTTCCTACTAACCTCCTCTCCTAGGTACGGTCTTTCTTAAACCAACGGACCCTACGCCTTAGCTTTAACGGAGAAATTAAAGAATTTAGCAGAATAGATATAGGAATTCCCCAAGGGAGCCCTATTTCTCCTATACTATTTCTAATATATATCCGCGAACTCTT